TTCTAATTACAGCCCCACAATTAAAATTGTTTGCCAATTTCATCTTGTGTACTCTTTGCACTGTCTAATGAAATTATGTTTGACATTAAAAACCAATTAGGCTAAACGTTTTTTGTTAGGGACTGAAACATTTCAATTATTCTTAAAAAGCAACATCCAGGATTGTTGACTTGAAAAAAATGCAACACGTTTTGAAGAAATAGTTACGAGATAATACCTACATGTGTATACAAACAAAAAAATTTCAATACCTTGTGCAATATCACGTAGAGCGTTTCATAGTAGATCATAATAAATTGTAAAACAAGATGTATTATGGTATGCAAAAAATTTCGCTAAAGTTTAGCCAAACGTTTTTATGGTTAAATATGCACCACCATTCGCAACATTAACACTGGGCATAGATGCTGAGAACTGTGGTGATTACATAAATATGTACGAACTTCTGTTCATGGACGTACCCTATCGGTTATCAAATAAAGTTTTTACACAAATCTTTAGCACTAAACGATAAATGCACTAAAAATTTATTTTGCTGACTCAAAAAAATTGCAAGCATCATTGCATCGTGAAATTAATGCTGATTTTCTTGCATAATAAATTACAAAATATTTTGCAAAAAATATTGCAAAAAAATTTGTATTTAATCATGGAAAAATTGTTGCATTAAAAAATTCTTAAGAGACTGCATGCCACACATAAGTTGTAATTTAAGACGATACATTTCAAACCTTATATACCATAGTATCTTATTTTTGATCTTTAAATCTTCTGGGCTTGCACAAAATGAGGTGAACCCAGAGTTTTCCCGGCGAAAAATTGATAATGTCACGTTAATTATTACGTGATAAATAGCCTGATTTTTCACATCACGTGATTATTTTCGTGATTTATAACGTGATTTGTTACAATTCGATAACGTCAAGTAATTAATAACGTGATTTTTTTGGCTGGGTTAGGTTTTCTTTTACTTGGCAGCCTTTGACTTTTGCAACATTATTTAAAAGAAATTAAAAAAAAGAATTGAAATGATCATTTTAACCAACGAATTTTACGTTTCATAATGTGTGGTTCAACTAGTAGTTGATAAAAGCTGCGACTTTCGGTACAGATCGAATTCAAAATACCCTATAGTACCCAGTTAATGTACATGTAATGTGTCTTTTTCTATATATTTGGTTTGACTATATTAACTTACGGTTTACTTAAGAGTCTAAAAAATTTGGGTAAGACAAGAACTGAAAAATCTTGAAATAAGTATATGTTAACATCATATATCTTGCAAAATTATTTTAAAAAGCTTTATTTATTAATAGCATTTTCTTTCCAAATCAGAAAACACGTGAGTCAAAATTAGATGCATGCAAGGGCGTGGAGTAGGACAGTCTCTGATACCTAATACCTAGTATGATATTCGTTTGTTTAAGGACGTTTAAAAGTATTCATAAAATGCCGTAATCATAAGAATATCGATTATTCTTGATAATATAGAATTAAGAACTTTTACGGGTTTTTTTACAAAGTTTTTTAATCGCTCCGAGCCGCTGCAGAGGGCAGGACCTCTGCAGTTGATATTTGACAAAATAAAAAACTCGAAAATTCTCGAATACAAACAAACAGCTTAGAGCATACATACATGCACACAGCTGGGGTTCAATCGGGGTATGCGATACATCGCAATATATCGAAAAAGTGTAGTGGTATCAAGACGTCAATCACCTTAAAATGCATTCAAAATAGGTTATGTTTACGTCACGTTTCATCTCACTCTAGATATATTGAATACCCCAATTGAACCCCTGCTTGTGATTGGCAAGCTCACTGAAAACGACTACAAGCGGAGAGTATCGTCCTTCTCTCTCTATCCTGTGAATCACAAACAGCCATATGCTATGAGAACCTTGCTCACATGCAAGAACTTCTGTCAAATATCAGCAACGGAGGGCGCAGCCTCTGCATCGGCTCGGAGCAAATTTCACTTTAAAAAGTTTACTTTCAAAAGAGGTGTACAAACAGAAATAATGTGATTGACATTAGGTTTTTATAAGATAAAAATTCTTGTAAAACACAAAAATACTGAAAACAATTATTTATTATCAAATTATTGTCTTACAATTTTTTAAACTATGTTTTAAGTTATGTTACAGTGCATTTCAAGCGATGTTAATGCTTAACGTAAGCAAAAAATTAAGTTGATTGGGTCCAAGAGGTAAGGTGCAGTAAAGGGGACCAAACTGCAAGGACCGGAGGGATTCCACTTCCTCTTATCTTTGAACGATATCCTAGAACCTCCTCAATATTTGATGTGGTGTGTGAAATCTTGAAGACATAATCCATCTTGCTCGAACATACTCATGCTTCTTATCTAGTTTGTTACGTAATATTTTTTTGTAAACATCGCGCACCAGTCGTAGATAGATATATGTACCCTTAAATGCATCTATCTATCTTTCTTTTAACTTAAAAAAAGCAATTATTTGTAAGAAAACTATTTTTGTATCTATTTACAATTTCGTGCCACCAAATCTTTATTAAAAAAGAAAACAAGTAATTTTTACGTATTTTACTTTAATTCTACAAAATATTTTTTTGATACAAAAAATAGTAATTTAATTTGTACACATTTATTTAAAAAGTAAGAAACTAATATTTGGCTTATAGTACGTAACTATTTGCTTTGTGTTAAAAACTTATCAATCTGCATCGATACCATGATTTCTACAAGCACAAGTAAAATGTTTTATTACAACTCTTTAAACCTTTTCTAAAACAATCATTACAACTTTAAGGCTAGTAATTTTCTTTACTACATTGTTTTTAAAGATCAGTTAACTACTTTTGATATTCAACAAATGGATTAGGGTGAATGGTAGGTAATAAGAAAATAGAATTTTCGTTAGTTAAGGTACATTTTCTTCACAAGAGACAATAATTACATTTCTTTAGTTTCAAGAAAATGTAATATTATGTCCAAACAATACCTACTCTGAACCAGTATCTCTTCTGCCTTGAAAAAGTATTTAACTATTACTATTTAGATAGAACATTATTATTGTACATAGTAGGAGCTCTTATCAAAATACGTCCCCATGTGTACACCCAATAACTATAGTTAACTCTTTTAATTTGTAAAAATTTTTCACAAACCTGCATTACATATATATGTGTAATACAGTAATAATCAATAGATTAAAGTTTTTATTTTTATGCTAGAGTTTTTCATGGAAACTTTATTCTACTTAATCATTTTTAAGAAAAATGTGGAAAACTAGTCAGTCTAAGAGACGTCTATAAATATTTTGAGCCTAATTTGCTAAGTTTTCTTTGAATTTTGTCTCAAGTTGAACGTAACTTTTGGCAATAAGCACCCAAACATGATCGTTGTAGGTTTCGTGCCTTACTGGACACAAATTTTAATGGTGTTTTAATAATACAATTTTTATGTAATATAACGCACTATCAAAGATGCTCAAAATCTGTCTACAATATACTTGAAGCTTTTGAGTGAAATATTTCCACACCGATTCGGTTGATTAAAAATAACTGTTCACAATATTTTCTAAAAAAAAATTTTTGCTAACTATGATATTAATTTTAGAGTACGCTCATTCAAAATTTAGTAGAGAAATAGCCGTTAGTGAAAAATTACTGAACAAAGTGGTTTGCAAAGTATGAAGTTCGGCTCATGCCAAGTGTGCGACCAAAGAACAAACTGCCAAAAATAATGAAAGAAAAGACAAGACGACCAAAGACACAAAGAAAAAGTGGTGACAGATGAAGAATACATCAATGTAATAAATATTTAAAAGTTTATTATGAAAAATGTACAATGCATAAGTGGGTTCACAAGTGAAAGCTATGAGATTATAATAAAACAATATTTTCAAAGGAGTGAAACTAATTTATTATAATTAATAGTATTA